TACTAAAATGATTTTGTTAAAGAAGACAAGGAAAAATAAAACAATTCACGGCAGTCGAAGAGGACAGCTTACTTCTACGAAAACGAATAAAAGGATTTTGAGGTGAACGTCTTTAATGTAGCTCTTGACAAGCTACTCCATCAGATAAAAAAGCAGGATGGATATAGCTCAAAAAACAGCGGACATTTTTTCGCTCATATGGTAATCTCTATCTCCTTTTAGAGATGAAGAAACATTTAATCTGAAAGAAAAATGCAAAGCGCTGGCATTTCTAGAAAAAAGATTTAAAAGAAGGGGAGTTGATCAAGGAAATCTACCATCTAGATATTCTAAAGCAATTAAGTACTATTAATCTATAATTAAGAAAAATAGAATCTCTTTCTTCGAATAAGTTACTTAACGGAATCTACTAAAAGGTCAGTTTTATTATCAATAACTAATTCACCTGTATTTTACTTTGAATTTTAATATCAATCCCGGTCTCAGTGGGCGAAGGAAAATATTAAAGGGAGAATAATTTCATTCATTGTAGTAGTTGCCATCCGGACGATAAACAGTAAAATGTATAATTCAATATACCCAAGAAACCAAATTTTGGGACACAGACCATAAAATTGACCCAAGGCACAACAAAAGCACTGTATGGGTCTGCTTGTAAGTCAAAGAAGAAAACTATGTTCTTATCTTCTATCTTCTAAGCTCTTCCTGATATAGTTGATCTTCTAAACTCTCAATTTAAATCTATGTTTACACTTGAAAGTTCTGAAAATTTTCCTTTGCTAAATGGTATTCATTCTGAATGCATTTATCATAAAAACTTAGATTTCTTTATCCCAGATATTGTTCATGAACTTGCCGATCTAAACCCTTATAAATCCTTCGGATTTGACGGCCTGCGTCCCTTAATACTCAAGATATGTGCCAAAAGCTTTGCAATTCCATTAACGAAAATCTTTTATGAATCCTTTAATTCTGGAGTAGTACCCAGTCAATGGAAATTAGCAAATATTTGTCCGATCTATAAAAAAAAGGGAGATAAATTACTTGCTGAAAATTATAGACCTATTTCACTAACATCTGTTGCCTGTAATATCTTCGAAAAACTTGTAAAGAACAAAATTTTAAAGCACATTAATGGTAATAAAATGCTCTCTGCAAATCAACATGGCTTCCTTTATCATAAATCATGCGTAACTAACCTAATAGAAACTTTTGATATCATTTCATCCTCCATAGCATCCCACCAATTTATTGATGTAATCTATCTTGACTTTGCCAAAGCGTTTGACTCTGTACCTCACAACAGACTTTTGTTAGAATTAAGATCTTTCGGAATAAACGGCAAACTCCTACAATGGATTAAATCCTTTTTAGTGGGCGGTTTGCATCGCGTTACAACTAACAATACCAACTCTGCATGGGTTGATGTTCTCAGTGGTGTTCCTCAAGGTTCTGTTCTCGGCCCGCTCCTCTGATATGGCTTTGGTTGAATCTGTTCAACGCAAAGCAACAAAATGGGCTTACAGCTTGAGGCATCTTCAATACTGCGAAAGGCTAAAAAGATTAAATCTACCATCACTTAAGTTTCGACGCCTTCGATGCGATTTAATCCAAATTTTTAAATTAATACATCGTTTTGATATAGTTAATGATAAATATCTACCAAAATATATTAACTCCATGTCTCGTGGTCACCATTCTAAAATAAGGCGTGAGTATGTTCAAAACTGTCTTCCAAGATATAATCATTTGTATAATAGATCAGTAAAATACTGGAACGAACTACCAGAGCAAATAACTTTGTACTCCACTGTACTTTCCTTCAAAAATAGACTAGACTCCTGATTGTGGAATAAGTTTGGAACAAATATTTATAAAACTGGTTGTTTATAGTGGGGTGTTTTCCCTGCTTGCTGTATGTGTACATTCTATGTAAATTTACGGCTACAACTATAATAATAATAATAATAACAATAATAATAGCAATAATAATGTTCATAAAATTTATATCCCGTTTTACATAAAAAATAATAAAAAATATTGTATTGCTCGAAGAAACAATACGTGATTTTTGAATTAACAGTCTTTGTAGTGACTTATTTTTTAATTAAAGGATCGTCCATAAAGTACGTACGCTTGGAAGAGAAGAGGGGTTCTGCATATGGCGTATATGAGATGAAAGGGCAGTGGGTCAATTATAAAAGAAAGAAGACACTAAACTAAAAAAAATATCATAAAATGTTAAAGAAATAGGTTAAAAGCGTAAGTACTTTAAGAGAGGTGGACTCCAACTCCCTAAAAGTACTTTGAACACCCTCCACCTGGTGGAGGGTATTCAAAGTACTTTGAGGGGGGGGGGGCGTAGGCATAAAAAATGTAGGTGCTTTATGGACGACCCCTAAATACCGCGTAATTTAAAGTTAACAAACCTCATCAGCAATCGAAGCATTACAAATAAAAGATCGAAGTTAAGAAAAATTCGTTAACAATTTTTAGAGTA